AAGAAGAATATATGCAGTGTATTATTTGTTGAAACTGTACTTCCGATTTGATTTGAAACTGTCTCATTGCTGTTTATCAATAAAACTTTGAAAAAAAAAGAAAAAAAAAAAGAAAAACAAACTTTTTTATAATCAGTGTTTGATATAACACTGAAACATTTCATTAGTTACAACTGGTTCCCTGTGCCATTTTTGAACATATCATTTGATTAGTATATGTTAGGGCCTCTTTTGTATCAAGATTCTTAGGTTGAGTTTTAATTATAATCTAATACGTAATTTTCTAAGCATTTTAAGAATTTCTACAGTTGCTACATTGATAGCCTCCAATCTAACTTGGAGTGTTCAGCAAAAGCCTTCCTTTCTCTGACATGGACCATGCCTTCAACTGCTCCGTCATTTGATAACAACATTCCCTGAAGATCTGTTTAAACCTTGGCTCCCATTGTGTGATGCTATCAGGAGGTAGTGGAAACTTTCAAGAGGTGGAGCCTAAGAGAAGGAAGTTAAGTCATTGGTATGTCCCCCCAAAAAATGTGGGATCCCAGTTGTTGTTGTTGTTGTATTTCAGAAATAAGGGAAGAAGCCTTGCGTTACCATGCATTCCCCAGTAAAGTAACCTGCCTCACCTCAGGACCAGAAGCAGTGAGGCCAGTCAACTTTAATCATGTTAGCCAAAATCAACCTTTGCTCTTTATAAATTAATCATCTCAGGTATCTACTGTAATGATATTGGAAAGCTGACTAACAGAAATAGTATTATTTTTGTATGCCATTCAGTAACAAGACAACTCCTGAGAAATCCCTTTAGCTTTCTTTTGTTATTTATGTCACTCAAAGCTATTTTCCCTCTCCTTAATATAATTGTTTTATTAAATACAAAGGAAAATGTCAGCATTTAGCTGGCAGCATAGATTAATGATATGGTTTCTCCTAGCTGACTTATCATTGACTTTTATACACTGATTCATTTTATAATTCTCTGACTGTCAAGTAGAGCTGTCTAATTTAATACTAAATCTAAAAACTGTTTGCTATATTTCTCTATTAAAAGTAAGCTCCTCATGATTTTATACAAGTAGTTTTAATAGTACAAGTCAGTAATAGCCGGATAGTTGAAAGTCTGAACTTTTTGTGTGCTTATTTTTTCATGCAAGCTTACCAAAAATTTCCAAGTTCCACATCATCAAACTTTTCATCTTCTCTCAAAAGAAAAAAAAAAAACCACAGTGCCAAAATCAACTATTTTCAGCATCAATTTTCAAATGTCAGCTTGTTTTGCCTAATTCTAGTAAATTTATATAGTGTAATTCTAAACTTCACTGTTTGACATTTCCCTGCCTAAGGCCAGCAGTAGAAACTTTGGCCGCCTATGTTGCTTTTGGAAACTAGCCCCTCCCTTCGTGGTCTCCCGGCTGGGCAGTGGGGGAGGGGTGCGGGCTGGAAGGGGACTCTGCTTGCGGCTGGTTGCTGGGCTCGACCTCGGACTACCAGGTGCAGTTGAGTGACCTGGGGATTAGCCCATCACAGCAAGCTTCCCTCTAAAGAGATAGGTGACGCTACAGTCAACGTACCACAAATGGGATTCTGATACAAGGAAGATCAGGAAGATCGATTTAAAAAAAAAAAAAAAAAGTCAAGGTCGTGCCTGCATTTCCTAATGGTACGTTTTCTGATGATTTGGCTACTATTTCCGAAGTTTTGAATTTCGATTCTGACGGAGTTAAGTTTTTCCAAGACAAAAGTAAGAAGTGTTGCTTTCACCATAAAGAAGTCCTAACTCAGAGAGAGAGAGAGAAAAAGAGAGAGAGAGAGAGAGAGAGAGAGAGAGAGAGAGAGAGAGAGAGAAGAAAGACGCGATGGCGGTTGTAGCTATATGGCTATAGTGGGCGAAAGCACATAGGAAACTTGCCAAAAACTCCAGCAGACGTGTTTCTATCCTGCCTACAGCGTGCCTCAGAATGAGGCTGCTGCGCAGAGCCGGAGAGAACAGGAGGAGGAAGACGGATTCCACCAGCTCCAGCGACATACGAACGCTGCTGGCTAATTTTCTTTTGCTACAAGAGTTGTTTTTAAACAGACAGACACCAACTAACAAAAACCCTGAAGTGACCTCTCTGTCCCCCACTCCCTTAGTAACTTGTGTTCCCTGCTTCTACTTGTTCCTGGCATGAAACGTAACAAAGAGCAAAAATCATGAAACAAAAAGAGAAAAAAATGTGTGAAAGAAAGGAGGGCGAAGAAGGTAGAAAGGAGAAAGAGAAGGGGGGGGGGAGAAGAAGAAAGGGGGAAAGAGAGAGAAAGTGAATGTACGTAGTGGGGATTAAAGGAGAGGAAAAGAGAGAGAGAAGGGAGAAGGAGAGCGCGTGAGAGGGAGGGGGCTGGTGCCACCCTCCTGGTTCACTGAAATGCTTGTTCCCGAGATTACAGTAATTACAGCCCCAGCATGAGTTCCATACAAGCGCTAAATGAAACAGCACATCAATTAAAAAATAAACACTCCGTTCTGGGAGAAAGACAACCCCCTGGGATGTCCTAACAAGCGTAAATGAACCTGCCAGGCCGCCGGGGCTCACAACCCCCCTCCTTCTCCAGGCGGACGCGGGGCTGCGCAAGGCTGGAGCGACCGGGGACGCGCACGACTGTAGCCACCTCGAGGACGCGCATGGCTGGAGCCACCTTGGGGACGTGTCCGTGGACCCCGGCGCAGCGCCACCTCCCAGGAGAAAAGGAGGCTCTAGCAAACAGGAACTTTGGACGCATGACTGTGCCCGAAAGTGCGGAGCTAACAGAATCCTGGGATGGTTTCCAGTCCCATTTATAAGTTTTCGTTTTCTTTTTAAAGGAAGTATAGAAACCTCTTCTAAAAGGAAGCACTGGTTCCGGATGTGTTATATATTTTATCTCCTCTACTTATCGAAAGCACCATGAACTCTGTGGTGTGATCACCCCACTTTTTAGGTAAGAAAACTGGGACTCCCTGGGTCAACAGCGAGGTCACAAGGGACCCCCCCTCCCGAGCTCCACGCCCCGCCCCGCTGCGTTCCGAGACCGCCAGGGACCCGTCCCTCCCGGAACCCTTGCCGGCAGCCCTGGACCAGCCTCCCGGCTTTCCGAGACCGCCAGGGACCCCTCCGGCCCGGAAGCCCGCCAGCAGGTCGCCCCTACTCCAGGCTAGAACAGGGCAGAAGCTTGGCTGCTTTGAAACCGGCTAGGGAGGCGCGCTAGGATACAAGCCCGTTCTAGTCCCCGAGTGCTGTCTCAGGGAAATGAAAACAGACTTCGGGCACCGTGGAGTTTCTGAAGACAGTCGCGGCTCACTGTCCCCCAGTCGGTCCCAAGGTTACCAAACTCCCCAGGGCGGAAGACTCAGAGGGCCGCGAGGCGCCCGCAGACTTCCTTAAGGAGCGCGGCGCCTGGGGCGCCTGGGCTCCGCCCCGCCGCCAGTGATTGGCGCTCCGGGACCGGGACGGGGCTCCTGTCCAGGCAATATAAATATTCATAAGTCGGCCGCCCGGTGATTGGTGCACGGAGACGGGGGCGGAGCCCAGATGCAGCTGTATAAATATTCATGAGCCGGCCGCTGGCGCTCGCGGGCTGAGCCTACAAGTTGAGCGCGGGGCACAATTCCTGCCGCGCCACTAGGCACCGGTGTCTGCGCTGCTTAGGGTCTGGATTTGCTTCAGGGCGCCTGAGGGAAGGGGCTGCTTCGCGAGCGACTGCACCCTGAGCGCGGCGCGGAGCTGACCGGCGGAAAGACCCGGAGGAAGAGGCTCCGAACTCCGGCCCAGGCTGCGCGGCCTTGGGGCGGGCATGAGCCTCCTCCCAGGTGCTGAGAGGGCCCGCGAGGGCTGAGTCGCAGGACTGCGCCGCGGCCCAAACGAAACTCGCTGCGTCCGCGGCGGGAGGGGGCCGGGCGCGCGGGCGATGAGCCGGGGGCGCGCCGCGCCGCGCAAGGGCTGAGCGCGACCCGAGGGCGCGGGCCCCCGACCCCACCCGCCCTTCCCGCCGGGAGCCCCGCGCGCCCCAGCATGGAGTGGAGCTCGCTGCTGGAGGTGACCTCGCTGCTGGCCACCCTCGCGCTGCTGCAGCGTTCCCGCGGTGCGGCGGCCGCCTCGGCCAAGGAGCTGGCGTGCCAGGAGATCACCGTGCCGCTGTGCCGCGGCGTGGGCTATAACTACACCTACATGCCCAACCAGTTCAACCACGACACGCAGGACGAGGCGGGCCTGGAGGTGCACCAGTTCTGGCCGCTCGTGGAGATCCAGTGCTCGCCCGACCTCAAGTTCTTCCTGTGCTCCATGTACACGCCCATCTGCCTGGAGGACTACAAGAAGCCGCTGCCGCCCTGCCGCGCAGTGTGCGAGCGCGCCAAGGCCGGCTGCGCGCCGCTCATGCGCCAGTACGGCTTCGCCTGGCCCGACCGCATGCGCTGCGACCGGCTGCCGGAGCAGGGCAGCCCGGACACGCTGTGCATGGACTACAACCGCAGCGACCCCGCCACGGCCGCGCCCGGCCCGCCGCCCCCACCAGCCGAGCAGCCAGCCTCGGGCAGCGGGCAAGGCCGGGTGCCCGGCGCCCGGGCTCCGCATCGGGGCGGCACAGACGGTGGGAGCACCGGGAGCGCGGGCCGGGGCACTGGGGCGCGCGGTGGCGCCAAGGCCCCCTGCGAGCCTGGGTGCCAGTGCCGCGCGCCCATGGTCAGCGTGTCCAGCGAGCGCCACCCGCTCTACAACCGCGTTAGGACTGGTCAGATCGCCAACTGCGCACTGCCTTGTCACAACCCCTTCTTCAGCCCCGACGAGCGCGCCTTCACCGTCTTCTGGATAGGCCTGTGGTCCGTGCTCTGCTTCGTGTCCACCTTCGCCACAGTATCGACCTTCCTCATCGACATGGAGCGCTTCAAGTACCCTGAGAGGCCCATCATCTTCCTGTCGGCCTGCTACCTCTTCGTGTCGGTTGGCTACCTGGTGCGCCTGGTGGCGGGCCACGAGAAGGTGGCCTGCAGTGGTGGGGGCGCGGGAGCGGGGGGTGCGGGAGCGGGAGCGGGGGGCGCGGCGGGCGGCGCGGGGGCCGCGGGCGCGCGCGGTGAGTACGAGGAGCTGGGCGCTGTGGGGCAGCACGTGCGCTACGAGACCACTGGCCCCGCGCTTTGCACCGTAGTCTTCCTGCTAGTCTACTTCTTCGGCATGGCCAGCTCCATCTGGTGGGTCATCTTGTCGCTCACCTGGTTCCTGGCAGCCGGCATGAAGTGGGGCAACGAGGCCATCGCTGGCTATTCGCAGTACTTCCACCTGGCCGCCTGGCTGGTGCCCAGCGTCAAGTCCATCGCTGTCCTGGCGCTCAGCTCGGTAGACGGTGATCCAGTGGCTGGCATCTGCTACGTGGGCAACCAGAGCCTGGACAACCTGCGGGGCTTCGTGCTGGCGCCGCTGGTCATCTACCTCTTCATCGGCACCATGTTTCTGCTGGCCGGCTTCGTGTCGCTCTTCCGTATCCGCTCGGTCATTAAGCAGCAGGGCGGCCCCACCAAGACGCACAAGCTGGAAAAGCTCATGATCCGCCTGGGGCTCTTTACCGTGCTCTACACTGTGCCCGCCGCCGTCGTGGTCGCCTGCCTATTCTACGAGCAACACAACCGCGCTCGCTGGGAGGCGGCGCACAACTGTCCCTGCCTGCGAGACCTGCAGCCGGATCAGGCGCGCCGGCCGGACTACGCGGTCTTCATGCTCAAGTACTTCATGTGCCTGGTGGTGGGCATCACCTCGGGCGTGTGGGTGTGGTCCGGCAAGACGCTGGAGTCCTGGCGCGCGCTGTGCACGCGCTGCTGCTGGGCCAGCAAGGGCGGCTCGGGGAGCGCCGGGGGATCGGGGCCCGGAGGCGGCGCGGGGCCCGGGGGTGGCGGGGGCTCGCTTTACAGTGACGTCAGCACCGGCCTGACTTGGCGGTCTGGCACTGCCAGCTCGGTGTCTTACCCCAAGCAGATGCCATTGTCCCAGGTCTGAGCGGAGGGGTGGGGGTGGGGGGCAGGGACCCTGAAAGGGCGGAGGTTCCCACCGCGTCACCTTGTTGATTGCTATTAGCATGATAATGAACTCTTAATGGTATCCATTAGCTGGGACCTAAATGACTCGCTCAGAACAAAGTACCTGGCATTGAAGCCTCCCGGCCTCCTCGCCTCCAATGACACTCGGAGCTCCTCCTGGCGGACTGCGCGGTGCTGGGGTCTGCTGCGCTCCAGGTTACCCGGTGCTGAGCTGGAAGCCTCTGCCGCAGCCTTCACCCGAGGGACACCTTTCCTCCCTCTCGACTCTTCCACGTGGACTCATCCTCCCGTTGTACCCTGGAGGAGGGAGGACGGCGACCTAATAGGATTGCACGGTTTTGGGTATTCTTAATGACCAGGCAGATGCCTTAAATAAACAAGATATGTCTTAATTATACACCCTAAGTAAATACGGGTTTCTTACATTAGAGGATGTATTTATATAATTATTTGTTAAATTGTAAAATGTGTAAAATATGTATATATCAAAGATATACATTGTGTACATTTTTTGTAAAAAGTTTAGAGGCTACCCCTGTAAGAACAAATATAAGTATTATATTTTGTCAATAAATGACTTTTGATAAATGATTTAAACATTGCCCGCGCCCCCGCCTCTTCTAAGCTGTCACCTTTACCGTGCTTGCTAAGGGTGCATGGGGAAAATGGATTTCTCTGGTTTGTCATTCTGTACACTGACCTTTAGGCATGGAGAAAATTGCCTGTTAACCCCTAATTCACAGACTGTTAACAAAGTAAATATCACTGTGGAACTGGAACCAAAATCGAGATTTTTCACCTTCTCCAAGGATGGTGTTTAAATGGTAGCTCTTTGCTGATACATGAATTACAACTCACTTTAGTTGTGTAAATGGGACTTTTTGCAAAGATAGAAATTCCACATAGTCCTTGTTATTTATCTTGTATGATATCACTAAAAGTTTCAAAACCTCACATTCATATCTCGAGTCTGTGATTTTCAAAGCACCTAGTTTTTCAGGAACTGATCACTGTGTAAGAGTGGAGGTTGATATTCTAAACCAGATAGGCCTGCAGTACAAGTCACTTGACAATCTGGTAGTGGGGCAGGCGCTCTTTAATGGATTAAACTAACGGGTTAACATCTTAATAACCTTCCATGCTTGTGTATACCAAATGTGCTTCTTTTCCTAGAGAAAAAGCTATTGTTCCTCTGTCAAGACTAAGCTAATTTATTTGAGCAGAAGGCTGTTGAATTAGCAGAAGAATGCTTTGGCAATTGTTGAACTTTTTACCTGTCTGCCCAGTGGCTCAGCACATCATTCCTTTAAGTGGAGCTAAATGAATAGGGTTAATCTGTAGGGAACTTGGTCTTTTGAGTTTGAAAAACTTTGATCTTTTCTCCTCTCCAAATGTGCTGTATGGTCTGAAGTTTCTTTCCCCGCTGCCCAGCTCCTCTTGCTGCAGAGCAATTGGCCACCGCGGAGCCTTAAAGTTCTTCCATTAAAGGGCTGTGGGACTTTTACTTTAAAAAGGAGAGAGAGCGAGGGAGAGGAAGACTTGTAACAGTTAGTGAAGACCAGAGGCACAAGTGCGCGCAGCCTTTTAAACAGCTTTTCCCGGCATTGTTAGCCAGCCGGCAGGCAGCTAGGCGTGGGTTGAAGCATTATAGAAAAGGGCTCTGAATGCCCTACAGGTGGTCTGTGCACATAATCCCCCAATTTAAAGCATTTTCCTTTGCTGGACAATTGCATTACAAAACTCCCTTCTTTTTCGCTCCTAATTGAACCAATGAACTATTATAAACTACAAGTTTTTCTTTAAAAAAAAATCTTCAGTGCCTAAATTCTATTGACTAAATTCTGGCAAGTTTTCTGAACTGAACCTTTTAAAGTACCGGAAGTGAAAACTGCTTCGGCAGACATTTCTTTTTGAGATATTTTTATTCCTTATGCTTGTTATTTTGGGGGCAGATTAGCAATAATTTAAAAGTAATTGGTGAGGTTGTGTGTTCAGACTGAAAAGATAGCCCCAGGTTCCTTATTAGCCTGTCAATCACCATAAGAAGTGGGCAGCTACCCTGCTAATGGCAGGGGCATCAATCACTGTGGGGTGGAGGGGACTGGTGGTATGCACTCTCCTTAGCTGTTTGTTCTCTTTATTTTCTTAACAGGAACATTTAATAGTTTTAAAGAAAATCTTTTTAAAAAAATTAATAGGATGAAAATGGCCCCTCTTCTGATCTCTCTCATGCAAGACGTTTTTGAGAAGAGTTTCCTGGCAATGACAGTTTGTAAATTCTTTCCAGCATCCTACTTGGTATTAATTGGGTTTTAAAATTTGAGTATATAATAAGAATGCCTACATTAGCTATCATGCCAATTTTGTTTTGTAAAAAACAAAAATCTTTACCTTGCCAGTGATTGTACTCATTCTGTGTTATAACTTAAGTACCCATAGTGGGCTGTGTGGAACCCACACGGTAACTCAGGTTGTAGTGTGTGTACACTAGCCACCAACCTTACCTGTTCAGTCATAGCACAGAATTTTAAAGACTGGTCTTTACCACATATGGAGGATGGAAGACTGTTGGAAGTCACTAGACAGATAAGAGTTTTCTAATGTGACAGTCTCATTGTTGACATATTTTCAACCATGGGGTACAATGGGAAATGCCTAACTTTAAGCTTTTCACATTCTTAATGCCTCCGTGTATCCTTGTAAAGTGCCGTATTTGATTTCACTTCACTCACTCATTTTAAAAACTGGCTATGGTATGCTAACTGTAAGCAAGAAAAACTTGTCCTGACATTCTGGGGATGCTTTCAGTAAAAATACCTGCACCCATCATCACAGCAGACTGAGTTTAGAGGCTGGTGTTTTGCCTTTAAGGCCAAAATCTGGATTAAAAATTTACCAATACCTAAATGGGGTTTAAAAACATCCAAAATTGATTTCAGGGGTGGGGAAAACAGAGCAAGGTCCCTCTGGGTGCGTTTGTGTTAAGTGATTACATCAAATACCAGGGCATCCCCTATTAGGGGAGTTTCTTTAATTGCTATATGAAACATGTTAGTTTTTGAAACTTTTGTCAAATACTTAGGAGTGGGGAAGTTGTAGTTACTTGTGGCTAAAAGATCAATGTAAATAAAATCTAAGATGGTTAAACCTCTAGCAAAGCCAAAGCTCATTAAAATCACTTGTGGGGTTATGTGGAATACACTCTTTGTGCTTTATAATAAATGCAATTCAAAAGTACCTAAGATGGAAAAGGGGAAGCTTATTTAAAAAATTTTAAGGGCGGACAGTGTCACATGACTTTCTTAACCTGCACTGATTAAGTTTCAGATGTCTGAGATCCTTTTACCCAGGGGAAGGAAGCCAGATTGTCTTGCTTGAAAGAAAAGCATAGAAAGAGAGTCCCTCACAGAGCACAGGATGCCGTTGAAAGTATGGCAGCAAAAGTTCTGCTGAAACACTAATCTCAAATTTGAGGCGTGATCATCTTCCAGTTTGATGCTATGCTGCCCCCTTGTGGTGCCGCAAGGTGCTGGAATCTGCAGGATGCATACGTTCCCTCCTTCAGACTGAGGACCGAGCTTCAGAGCCCACGCCCACAGCCTGGAAGTTATTCATAATTTGGAGTCCTTTCTCTTAAGAAAAAGATCCCAAATTTGTATTTGTTTCAGGCCTCACAAGAAATACCTGGATCACAATCAGATTATTTTCATTAATTTCCGTGGAATTAAGTCTTCAACATAATGGTTATGCTGAAATTATGATGTTAACTGTGTTGAAATCAAAAGATGTATCTCTTTAAAAATTATCTTCTGAGTTACTTTTAGTTGAAGAATTGGATGCTTGCCAAAGTCTGCCATAGTGAATCATTACTGGCAGAGACAATGGATAATAAAGACTGCTTTGAGATGGGATAGTGTTGGTGTGCATAATTAAAGGTACCACTTGGCAGCTTCCCACGTGGATACTGATGAGCTGATTCCAGCATATGCTCCTTGTGCTTCACAGGAGGCAGCTGGGCTGGAAGGGGCACAGTCCACCCAGGATCTAGCCAGGTGTTCAAGGAAACACTTCAAGGAATAGAAACTGCTGTAGCGGACAAGGTTGCCCAAAGGGATAAAGACAAAGCATCTGCTTAGGACCAGAGGAAGGAGGGCAGGAAGGCCAGGGTTTGAAAGACAAGTATGAGTTCAAATGGAGGGCTCCACCACACCATGGATGTACACATCCTGTTTCTGTGAACCTGGGTGGCCAAGGGGATGAAGGAGGGAGGAGACATTGGCCAGGACCAATGGGATCATGAAACTGCTGAGTGAGCAGAGCTGTCCAGAGCCCCCCTTCCTGGCAGTGGCATCACTGCTATGGCCCCTCTGTCTCTCATTGAGAATCGGGACTCCATGTTCCACGTGCTCACCAAGGTACAGAAGGCCCAGCCTCTCATCCCCTCCTCCTACAGGTCAGGAAGCTGAGGCCCAGAGACAAGTGTGTTTGCTGAGGGTCACAGTCAGGAGCAGCTACCAGTCCTGCCTGTCACTCAGTTCCCATTGGTCTTTAATGTTTCCCTGCTCTCCTATGAAACCCCCAGTGCCACTACTCTATGTGCTCACAGTAGACACTCAGATGGTGTCCCCCCAGAGAAAAGGCCCTACTGGAGTGTCCCGAGGGCATGGTGACTCCCCTGGGCAGATTGCCTGCCCAAAGCCAGCACACCAGCTCTCCACATGCACAACAATTTAGTAGTTGCCACATGAGCATTTTCCCAGCTGATGTAAAACACAGGACACAGAGGCTGTGTTCTAGCCCCATGCAGAGCTGCCTGGACCAGAGGGAGGGATGGAGCAACCTGTTATTAATGGAGCTCACACTGGGGAGAGGGGCCAGATGTGGGAAACATCCATGCTGGCCAGCAGAGCCTGGAGTCTTTCAGGGCAGCCTGGGAAGGGTTGGGGAGAAAGTGAGTCTGTGTCAGGAGGCAGAGGCAGAGGGAACAAAGGAGCAGCAGCACCAGCACAGACAGCATCACAGGAAAATGGAGCAGAAGATGCTGATGGTGGTACCGGAACAAACAAGCAACAGAGAAAAATGGAAGAGACAGCCAGCTAGTGTCAAAGTTAAGGCACACCATGTTACAATTTGTATCTAGAAAGCCTCCAAAACTGTATGGGGTCATAGGAGGGGCTTTTCATTGGTGACTGGCTGTAGAGTGTGTGATGCTAGGATTAAGGATGTGATGCTGGTATTAAGGATAGTCTACCCTGAGTGTCCCATCTGAAAGGTGCCACTGGAAGGGATAAAAGGGACAAAAAGAAATCTGTGGAGGTGGCTGCTTCTGCTGCTTCTTCATCACTACTTTGTTGCTTTCCACCTAGCATGAACTGGTTCTCCTCTGCTGTGCCACCCGGCCTGGGGCCAGCCAACTGTGACTGAAACTTCTGCAAACCGTGAGCCAAAATAAGCTTTTCCTCCTTTAACTTTGGGTGTGAGGTGTTTTGTCTCAGCACTAAGGAAACAAAAACATTTGCAGTTAAGCAACTGCTATGGTTTCTGTCTAGGTGTCCCCCCAAAGCCTCATGCAGTCTTGGGGCAGCTTCTGGAGTTTGTGATTGATTACTGTGGGTGTGGATGCTGCCTGCCCTGAGGCAGGTAATTTGCATTACAATGTAAGGTGGGAAGAGAAGCCAGCTGCCTGAGCTGCTGCTACCCCTCCCTTGTGCTCTTGCTCTTTGCTGCCGCCATGAAAGGTTGCCCTCTGCTATGTGCTGCTCTGAGTTGGACCCAGCTGAGTATGGACTTAAACCTCCAGTAACTGTGAGCTAAATAAACCTTTCCTTTCTTCATTTTGAGTGTCGGGTATTTGTCCCAGCAACGAGAGAAGAGTAACTAAGACAGCAACCAAGTTTGAGTAGTTTTCAAACCGCCGGGACAACAATGAATGAGAGAGGAGAAATGTACCTATTGATGTCACCATATTCATACTTTAGAGAATCATGCACTAAATTAAATGAGAAAACAATTAGCACTAATTTCTCCATAACACCTAGTTCTAAATACCTAACTTCCTGGGTCGGTGAAATACTTCAGTGGACTAAAGCGCCTGCTTAGGCAAGCGTAGGCAAGCGAAGGGACCGTGGTCTACTCTACGGCACCACATGCAGCGTCAGCCCTACCCCCAGGGTGGGCTGAGCCAACCAGAGTTTGAGCGTGGTGGCGCACGCCAGTGATCCCAGAGCTGGAGAGGCTGCAAATAGGAGAATCACGGTGAGTCAGAACTGCATAGTGAGACCCTGCAACAACCAAATACATTAAAAAAAAAAAAAAAATCTAACTCCCAGTAGCAATTCTCATCCCTACATATATATTAGGAGTACTTAGGAGCTTGTTTGTTTGTTTAAATGCCAACATCCAAGCCGCACTCCAGCTACTGTCATCCACTTGACTACTGTCCTTGGACATGGCATTAGGATAGTGGGGGGAGGGTGTCCCGGAAGGGTAGTTACAATAGCATTCAGAAAGATGCAGGAGCGCCCCCACCTGGTATGAAGGGAGAACTGCGTGCTTTGTTGATTTCATTATAGAGAGCAGTTTGGGGGGATCCCGCTTTTTCTCCTGGGAAGAAAGAACCCAGAATTGCGTGTGCAGGGTACCCAGTTTGCTGTTTGTAGTGTCTTTGAAACCAGAAATAAAACCTAACCTGTATGTTGATGTATTAGTTAGAAAGATAATTAAATGTCTTCTTTTTGTTCAGTGCCTATTTTTTTATTAAGTAGGCAGGTGATGAAGCCCTGCCTGCAGTGCCCTAGGTTTGGCACAACTTCTGGGGAAGCAGGGTCTGCACTGGCAGCAGAGAGGATGATGAATAGGTGCAGATGTGTTGTCGCCACCTTTAGAAGGAACTGAAATCTGTCTTACTAAATGCTACTAAACATCTAGAGTTAGAAGGCTTGAACCTAGGCCTCCACAGTAAGCTACATTCCCAGGTCTGTTTATTATTTACTTTTTAATTTAAGCCAGGGTCTCATCAAATCTCCCAGGCTGAGCTTGAACTTTCCATCCTCCTGTCTCAGCCTCACAGAGTGGTGTGATTACAGGCATGAGCCACAAAGTCTGAGTAGAATCACAAGGTAACTTTCATACAGTGCAAAAATCTGTCTCTGAGCATTATGAAAGAAGTCATGGGAGCCGGGGAGATGGCTTAGTAGAATAAGTGCTTCCCTGGCAAGCACAAGGGCCTGAGTTCAATCCCCAGTTTAAAAAAAAAAAAAAAAAAAAAAAAAAAAAAGACCGAAAAGAAAAAAAAAAAGAAAGAAAGAAATCATGAATCCTTAATCACAGATCCAGAAAGTGCTAAGCACAGAGTCTCATGCCCATAATTCCAGTACTCTGGAAGACTGAGGCAGAAGGACACAAATTCAAACCCAGCCTGAGCAGTTTAGTGATTTTTCCAGATGCATCTCAAAATTGAAGTCAGGCAATTTGAGGCCAGCCTGGGCTACAACTTGAGCTCAAGGCCATCCTGAACTACACAGTGAAACCTGTCTTCAAAAAGACAAAAAAGAAATTGGAGCACTTGGGGATGTAGCACAGTGCAAAGGCCAAATAGTTCAATCCAAAGTGCTAAAGGGGAAAAAAAAATGTGAGACCGAAATTCAACTGCAAGCAAACTCTGAGATTTCCCTGATGCTGTGTAACATCTTGTATTTTGGAGAAGTGATTACTATGGTTTACAACTTAACTATCCCTGGAGGCACATGTGTTGAATGAGGGCTTGGTCCCCAGTGTGTGCTCCTGAGAGGTGGTGGCACCCTTAAGAAGTGGGTCCTATTCAAAGCTTTCAGGACTTCAGTGGGCTCCATTGAGGGTACTGGGGTCCCCAGCCCCTCATTCTTCCTCTCTCTCACTTCCTGTCCATAGGAGTGGTCTTATTCCACCATCCCTTTCCAATACACTGTGCGCTGTCTGTCTCCACTGGTTGATAGTAAGGTACTCAGCCTCTCTGTCTGGCTCCATCCTCTGAAAAATGAAGCTCACATCACACCACTGTGTAGGGCTGTTGTGAAGATTAAACTGTAATACCAATAGCAATGCATAGAATGGAGCCTGACTAGAGCAGCGGGTAAAAAGCTTGTTTCATCATGCAAATCTGTCTGTGTGCATTTTTGTCCTGTTTATTCATTTTATCATGATTTCTAGAACAAGCAGCACAAAGTTTAGCATTCCAACCATTTTTCAGTTTACAGTTCTGTAGGGTTGGGTGTAGCTACATTTTTGTTAAACAGTTCACTAGCACTTTTTTGTATTGTAGAACTGAAACTCCATACCCATTAAACAGCTGCTTTTCATTCCTGTCCCCTTCCCATGACTCCTGGCCTCCTCCATCCCACTTCCTGCACCTACAACTTTGGCTAGAGTAGAATGTACCTCATATAAGTGGGTCATGCTGTATTCATCTTTTTGTGACTTCTGTATTTTGCTTAGCATATTGTCAAGCTCCACACATGCTGTAGTATGTCCCAATGTACATCCTTTTTAGGACTAAGTATTATAGCACATTTTATTTATCTTGTCATCTCTGGTTGGGCACTTGGCTTGCTACTGCCTCTTGGTTATCGTAAAGACTGCAACTATCATTATGGCAGTGATTTGTAGTTTATTTATGGCTATACACTTAGGAAATTGGAACAGAGAAGTTTATCCCTTGGCTTCATCTAGTCCCTAATTGCTACATGTGCCCATCCACCGATGACTCATCCAGCATCCAATGACACATGGATCCATGCATTTTTACCCATTACACTCCTTAATGTCCGCACCAGAATAAGAAAAGCTGTACTGTAATAATAGCAAACTACTCTAAAATCTCAGCCACTTGACCTAACAGAAAATGATTTCTCATTTAACACAC